TACCATTGTGGAAATTTGTTGGTATCCAAGTCAGTGTGGTAGGAAAGATCACAACAGGAACGTAGTTTACTTATGCTAGTTTGAATTTTTTGTAATGAAGCATTATAGTTTTGTTACTTAAAAAAAATACATTTGAAAAAAGTAACACACATTTATCTAAATAAGATTTTATATCAACACAATGGTAAAAACACATTGTGGTTGTTGGCAGTGACACTGATTGTGATTGGTTGATGAGGCTGGTGTCCTAAAATGTACACGAGTGCTCTGATTGATAATAAAGTATTAAAGAAATATGCTAAATTATTAACAGTAGTGCACAGACCTGGGTTGTTAAACTACCATCTGTAGCAAATGCATTTTTCATTATTGGATCAGTGGTTACCACCTGCATTTGTGACTTTCTGATAGATCTCCAGCTGGTTACGTAGGAGGTCCGTACTTGTGTTCACAACTTTGCAAGATGCTGTGATGGCTGATTCACACCTATGTCTGATTCGGGGACATGGAGTGTCTATTTCATTTCATTTCAGAGTGCAAACAGTTTTATACTGGGCATAAACTGCTTTTGATTAGATCTTTATGTAAGGTCTGTGTAAACGACCACGGCAGACCCAGTGGCATTTTGCTGCTTTTATTAATCCCTACACGGTTGCTGTACATTCGCACTCAGAGCTGCAGCTCTCCCGCTTCCAGCTCAACATAACACCAACAACCCAACCACAGGACCCAGTACAATGTTTAATTCGGCGGGGCGTGATTGCGGATGCCGTGCAGGTGCGTCCGCCTCCTCTGCACTGCACCGCAGGCCACGCCTCGCCACAGTCTGGAATTCAGAGTACTTGTGACAAGTATTAATCTTGTTTGTCTGAATGCTCCAGAGCTTCAGGGGGTGCTATTCTACAGCAAATCGCTTTTCTGACCGCTGTGCAATAAGTATATCAGTTTTTTGTTATAATACGAGAGCTTCTCCTAACATACAACCACAATTCCTAAGTAGTTGGGACACTGTAAAATGCCAATGTCTCATAAATCCATATTTGATTCATAATTGAACATAGAAAACACATCCAGTGTTTAAACTGAGAAAATGCACCTTTTTAAGCAATATATAAGCTAATTTTATATATTTTATATACAGCAACACGTCTCAAAGGAGCAGAGACAGGGTTACATATAAAGTTTAGCAATGTTTTGCTGAAATATGCAAGGCCAACCTTGAATTCATCTGGATGCTCTAAAACCCATATGTGCCTTTCAGTGTTGATGGTGTCTTTCCAAGGCCTATTTCAAGTTCCAGTCACTCGTGCACTCCCATACTGTCAAAAAGGATTTCAAATTTCGATTTGTCTGAACACAGACACTTTACCTCGGTCCATTTTAAATGAGCTTTGGCTCAGAGAAAACTGCCAGGTTTCTTGATCAAAGTCACATATGGCTGCTTCTCTGTATGATGGAGTTTTCCATGACAGAATCATGTCTGTTTTTAATGCATTGCTGACTGAGTGAAGATCACCACATCCAATATGGATTTTAAGCTTTGTCCCTTTGTCTTCAAATTCTGTGAATCCTTTCATTATTATGTACTGCAGATAAAGAGTTGTTACACATTTTTTTAGATGCCATTTTTTGTGGATTGGTGAACCTCTGTCTACTTCTGAGAAATTCTGTCACTCTAAGATGCTCTTTTTTTTACCCAATCATCTGTTGCCAATTAACTGGATAAGTTGCTAATTGCTTCTCCGGCTGTTCTTTTAATGGGGCATTCGTGAATAAGCCAGAATTCAGGATTTTTGAGTTCCCATATGGAATTTGATGTGGAATGCCCACTCAGCTTTTATTTCTCATTAGGAAAGTCGGCATAGCCCACCAACCCTGAGTTAGCAATCCAAGATGGAGTTGAACGTAAACAGTAGTAAAACTTTGTTTTCTTTTTTGTTTTTACATTATTTTGGAATTGGGTTTGTACTTTAAAATTATTAGCAAACACAAATCTTTAATGTTTGTGTGACTTTTTTTTTTCAGTCCAAGAGCTCAGTTGCAGATCTGCTCCTTTTGCTCTGTCAACAGATAAAAATAGTCTTGTACATTGTTCTTCACACAGAAGGTCAAACAACACATGTACACAAATACAAGTAATGAGTGAGAGCTCGGGATGCTGGCAGCTAATTTGCTAAATAACAGGAAAAACTGGTCTAGTCAAAACGACAGGAAAATCCTCGGAAAACATTAAAAAGTGAACAGAATTTAAACCATTGCAAACACACACTGAGTGAGATTGTTTTGGCTCTGTGAGTTCAGCAGTGCTAGCAGCAGTGACCTTCTTTTCTGGGAGCTTCCACATGAAGAATGTGGTCACACCTGGCCTCGGCTGCTTGGCTCTAATCCAGTTTATTCCGGCGAAGCTGATATACAACTGCTTTGTTTTATTTTTTGTTTGTTTGTTTTTTAAAACATCAAAATACTGCAAAACAGCCTTGTTACCATGGTTGTTACTTGCTTTAATCTGTTCAACTGCCATCGAAAGTGTGGTGAACTGGAAGTGGTCAGTGTCCCTGTATCCCAGCTCAACCAGTAACTGCTATTGTACATGAATAAAATAAGAAAAACAGGCTTAACTGACTCGTAATTCTGGTACTGACTAGATCAGGGGTGGGCATTCTCAGTCCACGAGAGCCGGTGTCCTCGAACCAACACAGCTGATTTAAATGGCTAAATTAGCTCCTCAACATGTCCTGAAGTTCTCCAGAGGCCTGGTAACGAACTAATCATGTGATTCAGGTGTGTTGACCCAAGGTGAGATCTAAAACCTGCAGGGACGCCGGCCCTCATGGACTGAGATTGCCCACCCCTGGACTAGATAGTGCAGCAGCGTTTAAACACGTAGTCCATTATTCGCGTACATCTCTACTCATAACTGAAGGAGTGTAAACTGTTTTGATTATTATCTGTCTGCCAGTTTGTGGCTTGTATCCACTTCCAGGTGTTAAGGGCATTTCCACAGCATTTTCCTTTTGCTCTGTTGTTTTTGCAGCCAGAGAAGTCATTACCAGGGAGCTGCCTGTATGACCTTGTTGCTGTCGTGGTGCATCATGGATCTGGGTGAGTAGTTTAACATTGTTGAGTCTGGCTTTCCTGATTTGTTAGATGGCGTAAAATGCGGTAATTACACAGCTTTCTTAGTCAAGAAGCATCCATGTTTAGAGGTCATGAATCAAAGCTATAATTAATAACTGATTTAACTTGATGACTAATTATTTCCTATGGATAAAAGGGCCAGCTTGATCCATGTTTTGTTTTTTGTTTTTTTTGTACTTTTTGTACAAGTGTATTTTTTGTGTTGTAGAAGAATAAGGAACTGAATCCTAACATGCATTCAAGACTGGGCTATGGATCTGTGCATTATTATCTGCCAGCTTTGAGTTACTGTATAGCCGGATCACATCCGCTTTGTGAAAGCTGCAGTTTAAAAATGTATGTAGCCGCTAAAAGGCATTAGGCTGCAAGTCCTTGAAAACACATTTAGATTCAAACAGAATCAAAGTGCTTTTGTCTTTGGCCTCTAGGTGGCAGTGTTGCACTGCTGCTATATTGTCGAGCTGAATTCTCCCATCTTGCTTCAGCAACGATAGATGAGCTCTTGCATGAAAGCAGGCAGCAGAATATGACGTGTGTTTGTGTTCACAGGGTTGGGTCGGGGCATTATACAGCGTACGGCAGCCATGAGGGTCACTGGTACCACTTCAACGACAGCACAGTGACTCTGACCAATGAGGATACAGTGAGGAAGGCCAAAGCCTACATCCTCTTCTACGTAGAGAGGACTGGTCAGGTGCCCTCTGACACAAGCGCATCAAACAGCACAGCCACGAATAAGCCTGCCGTGGACGCTGCAGCTGTGGACAGTGTTTCTCCAGAAATAGTTTCTCAGGACACAGTCGTAGCCGATACGGTAGCTACAGATCTGGATTTTGCGGACGCAGCATCGTCACACGAGGACGTCGCGGGCGAGAAAGAGGAGGTAGATGTGAACAAAGACATGGCTACACTGGCTGAGGGTGACAAAGTATCAGTGAAAGCTGCAGCAGATGCAGATACCTCAGACAAGGCTGCAACAGAAGAATCTCACCAAGCTCTACAAACTGTTGCACAATAAATAATTCTTTGAGATTTCACTGCCTCAGACCAGCTCGTAACTTTTGTTTCGACTTCACCTCAATCACATTTGTCACCGTGCTTGATTATAATTTTCACATAACATTCACATTTTCACTCTTGTGTTATGATTTGTTTGAAAGCGTCATGTTTTAACTTGCTGCTTAATTTGTTTAGTAGACTTTTTGCATGTTTTCTCTCGATGATGTGCCCTCATACCGAGGTAGACTTCTCCATATCCAATAGATTCCAAAGGTGATCGTTTAAAGTTTAACGTATTGAAGCTTTAGCCTTGGAAAACCTCAGTTGGTCCAATGTTTAGCTTAGACTGAAGAGATTCATTGTCAAGAACACTGTGTAATATTTGGCATTTCTATTGTTTTTAAAGTTTCACATGTCATATTTTTCACCTTAAGAGCCCAGTAGTTCTGTTTTCCAGTCATTAGAGGATATTTTAAGATTTAGAATGCAATGCATTTGACTGACTGGTGCTCATTAGGGCTTTAGAAAGTTGTTTTAACTTCTTGACCAGAACCAATGTAAAAAGAAGTGATCATTCTCAAAAAGTTTGCCTGTACTGATGCTGGAGTATCATGTAACATTTTATGTTGATTTGAAATGGCCATACACGGGGACCTGAAGTGAAATTCTCTTCAAATGTGTACCAGGCAACACGAACATGACAGAATACAATGGAGAACATTTTATTAAGATGTTTGTGTTGGGCTGTTTTTATCATCGACGGCAACCGGCCGACCCGCTGCAGTAAAAGGCAAACAAGACGCCACGGTTCACGTTAGGTGGTGGTTACTGCACTGTCACAAGGAAAGATGGTAAGACTAAAACTAATAAAGTGAAGTTCCAAGTTAAGATTTTGCAGGAGTGAATATTGAAGAAAAACATGTATAGAAATCTGTTCATTAGTCAGGAGTAGGGATGTTAACCTAGCGAGCAGCTCTGGAGGAATTAAAGAACTGCATCACTAATGTTTCTACACTAGCCTCTATTTTTAAGCTTATACTGCAAATCTATTTTCTAAACAGGTTCATGTACTTTATGCAAATTAAACGTCATCAAACTATTTATTGATGCGTATGTTAGGAACAGTTTTTTCCTCTTGTGTGTGTGTTTACAGTAGACACATGCATACTAAAATATATTTCATGTGTATTTCCAGTATACAACTGTCTCAACACCCTTATTATGCCTTGTAATGATTAACTGGCTTTGATATGACCCAAGTAGGACTTCTAAAATGAGAGCCTTTAAGTTGTCTTCCCCACACAAACACACACACACACACACACACACACTCGCAGAGTCACCCTCCCCCCGGCACACGTGCCACCCAGTGAGCCGTCTCACTCTGGCAGGAACAGGCACTCCTGTATGCTGAGGAGCAGCTGCTCTTCATCGCCTGCACACAGGTGGCTGCAGTTTGTTATTCTGTCCCCATCAGTGATACAAGTGCCCCCCTTGTTTTGTTTTTTCACATTTTTTGATTATATCCCAAATGTGGAAAAAACAACGTTGGAGATCTTGTAAGGGGCGTCGTGACACGGTGACGCAGAGTACAGAATGTGATCCGCCTTCCAGCAGTGGAATTTCCCAGTGTCCTGCTTTTTTATAGAGATCGCCGATAAAGAGTGACGTAGAAAAAGCTGGCAAGGAAGTGTGGAGTGATGACATGGGCTGAATGGTATTTTGCATTTTGCCAACTCTGTACGTCCTCTGCGAGCCAACTGAACAAACACACTCTGAGTTGTAGTACTGTCTGTTCCTTGAGGCAAAGTCCTGCGTACGGCTTGTGACTTTCACTCACATGAAGCGTTTTCCACGTTATGTGGCTCTCTGATGGTCTCGATCACAATGCAGGGAATGCAGATCCCTTTAAGTACATTAAATACAGACTTTTTTTTAAACATTGGTACATTTCGCAAAGAATCATTTAATGTAAAAATTTGACACTGATAAATCATCCCATTATTTTTCACTACCTCTGTTTTTAAAAGTATCACAGAATTTTTTCATAATTCTTGAGGTGTTTTAGGTTTGTTTTTTCTCTCCAACTTGACCCCTAACCGTAGTTGTTGCATGGGTGTTTCTGCACTACCCAGTGAAGGTGTTTCTCTTTTTTTATGTCTCTTAGTGTGTATCTGAGAACTAGGCCAGGACAGTGTAAACATCTGGCTGAATCCAGCACTTGCTGCCTGTTGAGAGCCATGACAGATGGAAAGGGAGCGTATGGCTCAAACACTTCCATCTTTGACTGCACAGCAGTTGTCTTCCCAAAATAGCCCGTGCTCTACGGCCTTATATGTGCAGGCCTGTGTGGTGTGCCTGAGGGGGCATCATGTATCTAGGCCACACAATACGGGCTGTGGGCTCATTGTTGCTGCTTACCAGCAGGCCTATCACTGCCCCAGGGACGAAGCCTATCTCTATGTCTCAGGACAACACACCATGCATCTCATTCAGCTCAACCGTGAGTGTCTCCTTCACCTTTTCTCCTTCCTGGACAAGGACAGCCGGAGGAGTTTGTCCCTCACCTGTCATCAGCTGCGTGAGGTCTTCCTGGACCCCTGTCTCTGGAATCTACTCCACTTCAGCTCCCCTTGTCAGCTCAGGAAGGACAACTTTGTGCTGGGACCCTCGTTGCGTTACTTAACTATTAGTTGGTACTCCAGCATGGTCCTGCAAGTGTGCAACATCGAGGACTGGTTGAAGAGCTCGTTTCAGAAGAACATCTGCAGTAAACACGAAAGCCTGGTCAGCACGTTCCTGGCCCATGTCTGCTATATGTGAGTGTTTGTGTGTGGCTCTACCTTGCTGTGTTGTGTGATCAGAATGACAGCTGACAAAAGCTGAGAGAGGACACTGTAATATCCTGTAATAATACCTCAAGCACTGACTTTTAAACACCTTAAAAGTAGAGTAGAATTAACATGACATTGGCACAGCTTGTGTTCATCTTGACACTGGCACGAGAACAAATTGCGTCTCTCATTATGTGTCTTGAGGATGCTCACACAATTTGGGGGAGGGGATGTTGCTTTCAGGGTCATTTACACCCACATCAGGGAACCAAATGGTTTTCATTTAAAGGCACGTCGCTCAGTCTAACTGCCATGTTTAGCTGCAGGCAGCATGGAACATGATCATTAGAAACAGATGGCGTATCCACAACTGGCTGTGGAGACAGAAAAATGACACATCTGTGGGACACAAGACTGATTCTATTAACTAACATAACTGTGGTCACATATCAAAATATATTTAGTGAATGACGTGACAGTTGGACTTGATAGGTCGCTGAAAAGTAGCCGTTTTGGCTTTTGGCCTTGTGTGCGTGGCCGGGTTCAGGCAGGAATCGTCCCGGAGAGGCGTAATGAGGTCTCTGGATAATTTCTTCAAGGCAGCCAGTAATAACAGTCGATGTGAGGGAGCTTGGCCACCACAGCTGGCCGGGACAAGAGGAAGGGAAAGGGGGAAAGGGGCAGTCTCAGTGGCGTGTGTACAACCCTGTGAGGACTTCCTGTATTGTGAAATTTGAGATTTGTGATGTGAGAGCTGTGAGATGAGTCAGAGTTTAGAACCACCCACTTCGTCTGAGGCTTGCATCTCTGTGTCCTTAAGGCACACTCTCTGCATACTGATAAACCCTCCCAAATTGTCAGAAGAAAGGAAGCGCACGTGACAAAGTGGGAGGGAACACAGAGGCTGTGGGGGTGATAAAGAGTGACTTGGCTCCAGACCCTCCCAGTCAGCTGCATAGTGGAGATTTATGCAGGCAGGTGGAGCCTACAATTGGCTCTTTGTTGCCGTCAGAGGAATGAACATGTGCTCTGTCTGTGCCTGCCTCTTCCTGGATAAGACTCCACGCAAACTCTGACGCCAACCTCGTGTCTATAGTCTCTTTTTTTATCTACATGGAAAAAACTATAAAACATAGCATGTCTTTGGGCCTCTTTTGCAGTGTACTTTCAGTGTAATACTCTGCAGAGCCAGAAAACTACAGTAAATCAATTTTCTTAAGGTCACAGTATTAGAATTATACAAGATTAATTAACATGCCTGATTTGCAGTATAGTGTGGGCTGCGCAGTGGGTGGCACAAGAAGCTTTGGCATGAGACTGGTTAAACATTTCTGAGTAGTTTTACTCCGATCTTTACTGTGCACCATTTGGATAAACTGATGCTTTCTCTTATATAACGAGAGCATGCGTGACTTTTGCTTATGAAGTGCTTAAGAGATTTATCTGACAGCTGCTTTGGAAAATATTTACTACTAAATCTAGAAAATAGAAGGTTCCAGCAATGTTTTAGGCTTTTTTTGACGCAAACCTTTCCCCTCAAACGACTGAAGGACACGAACAGTAAATGTACACTACGTCTCAGTTCCTTTTAGAGCTCACTGGATAATTTGACCAGACAAATTAACCGTTAGGAAACCAAACGGCTCATTATAGGCATGATTACAGGTTGGTGGTGTGGTGTTCTGCTTGTGCTCAACATAGACCAGTCTGCTCATGCTGCTGTTTCTTTCAATGGGAACTACATCATGTCTCAAACATAAATTAAAGGCATAAAAAAAATTCTGAACATTTTAGGCACACACTGCTAGGTGGAAGCATTTATATTTGCCCTCGCTACTTTGAAAAGATCAAGGTTTTTGCTTTTCTTTCATTTTCATTCAGCTGCTACGTTCCTACAGTTGGCGAACATATGAAATATTATAGGAATGAATTTGAAAACTAGCTTACAGACGGAACAAACAAAGAAACCCATTAAAAAGAAATTATTTTCCACTTAAAAAAACAAGGTGCTATGAGGCGGTGCTTTAATGCGCCAACAACTAAATGCCTGTATGTATGTAAGTGCACATATTCTATGTGTGTGTGCAAGACAGATTCAGATAAGTGGGTATGTACATATTGGAACAGCACACAAAAGAGTCTGCGCACAGTGGAAGTTCCATGAGAGGGCGGATTATGTAATGGGTTTAAAAAAATACTACTCCTCTTATCTCTTGCTTCTATCCACTTCCTATCCTATGTCATTAAAAAAGACAAACGAGTCTCTAAATGGAACTGTTTCTTTTTAGTGCACTGCCTGACTTCCTCAATATTTTGTTGATGTCAATAGCGTCCGATCACATGCTCTGCTAAAGTCTCACTCTGAGCCCATGCAACAATGCAGCAGGGCACATGGATCGACTGCATGCTCAGAGGTTACTGGGGCACTGCCCTCAACACTAGCAGGCAGCTGGAATATGCCGGGCTCACATGTGGTGAAGTGGTAAGATTATGTAAGTCTTTATGTAATCTGCATCTGTCAACATGAATGACACTCACTATCCCTTGCCATCCCGGTGCCTGTCTACCAGCTCTGGCCTGCCGCTAGGTTGCAGTGCACTGAATGACAATCCAGCAGTGCATGCATTTCACAGAAACACTTGACATTTTGTTTTCAGAAGCGGTTTTCTAATTAAAATTGTTGTCGGCTCTTTTTTTCTTCACTTACTCACAAAAGCTTTTTAAAGAAAGGAAACACACATGGCCCGGTGGGACTCGGTGTACACAGAAGGTCTAGGTATTTAACAGCTCTGTCATTAAACACATCATGTGTCCATCTCGCAGTATATATATCCCAAGGCATTATGAGTAAAGATGACACAGTACAGGTTTTGTACTCAATGTGTGAAAAGTGAAAACCTGCCTCAGTTAAGCGACGTGTCTTACGGATGTCTCTACCACAGGTGCCCCAACTTGCTGTCGCTAACCATGTCTGGCTGTGGACACATCACTGACCGGGATGTGATTTCTGTGCTGCAGTGCTGCAGGAAGCTACGCTACCTCCACCTAGAGAACTGCGTCCGCATTACTGACTGCAGCCTGGAGGGCGTGGTGGCTCACGGAGACAATCTGGAGGAGGTGAAGGTGGATTTTTGTAGGAATATCACTCAGGCAGGGCTGCAGCACTGTAAGGAGATGAAGCCAGCCCTTCAACTGACTGCTGAGAGGAGCGCTGACTTGATCCCCGACAGCAAGCCTGAGGAGAGGGTACCAATCAGGAGGACACTGCAGAAGGTCCTGCAGAATTCCTGATGGTAGCTGCTCACACCCACACTAACTGGGACCATAAAAGAGCATTCCTGTAACTTACTGTGTAATGACTCTACTGTGATGTTTTGTATGATTTGTATTTAATTTTACTTTGTTGTACCTTTTATATGACACACATTAAATATAAATTTCTTTTAAATCTTGAAGAAATAGTTTGACATTTTTGGAAAAACGTGTAGTAAAGATGAAGATGCCACCAGGAGCTGCACAAACTAGAAACAGGAGGGAGCAGATCGATTCTATCAAAAGGTTAAAAAAAGACATTTAGCAACTGCAGAAACACAAACTGTTTTCACACCGCAGCCCTGAACTTTTGTTGATTTTGAGAATGTGACAACACAAATGGATAGACATAGCTGGACTAGACACAAAACGATCTTTGACCTGCCAGCTCGCTTGTACAAAGTCTGTGCAGCGTTCGATTGGGTCAGTTTGTGCCCGTGTGAGAGCAGCTGCAGGTATCAGTCCCGTGTATCCATGGCCTTTGCTCTGCACTCTGCACTCTGCTCTCTCTATCCAGATAGTTCACCTGCCAAACACGCTAAACCAAACACAGTAGTGTCTGAGGCAATCTCAAGCTATGTCCCAAGTTGTTTTCCTGACATTGTCCAGAGTTCCCATGTGCCAAATAATGACAAAATGACAAAATTTGAGTTTGCATAAGGGGTCACGTGACCTGTCTCTTGGCCAGGACTAGTTGACAGGCAACAAATGGAAACTTCAGGAAGTTTCTTCTTCCAGCAAAGTAGCTGCTGTCACACTGAATGACAGATCTTCTTTTGCCTTGTCTTATTTCCAGCACAGGCATAGGAGTGTTATCAATCATCTCTGTGTATCTCCAAATGATTGAATAGTCATTTTCCCTAAATGTCAAACTATTCCTTTAATAGCATTTGATGGTTTGATTACATTTTTTACAACCACTCCAGCATTAAAAAGTAAAATACATAAAAAACCCTCAAACACGTGTGTGGTCGTGATCTCCATCCAGAGAGGAAGGATTCTCCCAAGGAAAAATGCCTTAAGCCTGAGTTGTCATCTTACGTAATAGTGACAAAATTAGGCTGAACAGGCGTGTCTGTAAATACCATGTGACAGATTTATGACAGGTGACTGCGGCAGCAGGGTACTCCTTAATCGCTAGTTTCCGACACCCAGTTTTCCAATTTTTAATTAACTGAAGCAGTTCAAGTCGAGTGAATTTGATATGATACAAAGATAAGATGTAAACCTCCAAAGCTTAAGCAATTAAACATCATCATCCAAAATCATGTGAACTTCACAGAAAACTGGCTTTTTTGGAGATTAGGAACTTGTTGAACATACAGCTTTTGTACTGAAAATTAAGCCTTGAAAGGCGATGCAGGCACCCCAAATTTTCTGATTTCATGCAAGCCATCACTCTATACCTAGATGGTTTGGTAACAAACTGTTATTACACTAATTGATGCATTATTACAATAATACTGTACTGTAGGAAAGCAGAAAATGGTGAGAAAAAGGCAGGCAACAAAAGGAAGACAGACTGGTTAATCGAGAGTTTCATGTTACAGAAAGACTGTGACTCAAAACACAGAAAGAAAAGAACTAGATGGTAAGCTCCAACAGGTGAAAGACCTGAACTTAAACCCTATCAGGCTGGTTTGGGATTAACTGAATGGGCAGAAGAGTGAACGAAAAACACTTGTGGGAACATCTGCAACGGTTTTGAGGGGGAAGAAAAAACTTTCCACGTAGTGTTTTATTTCTATAGTCATAAGTCATAAGGCTGAGTGAGTGCAAATATTGAATGTTATTTATGAGACACACAGATTATGGGGGATTATGCTAAATTAAAGAGTGTATATGTATATTTGTATGAGTTTGACAAGAACATCTGAAAAGCACACAACTCACTACTTGTCCTTATCTAATTATTCCTATTTTCTTTTTGTTTGGTCATGCAAAACTGATTAAGCAGTGTAATGTGGTCCATGTGGTTTGGACTACAACGGTGGCTCCCAGACCACAGAATCCTGGACTCAGTGCAGCTGGGACCTTGGACGACCAGGTGGAAAATACAGAGTGAAACTAATAAGACTGTTCCTCCAAGTACAATGCAGCACATGTCAGTAATACCACAAACTCCAGAATGACCACAGAGTGAAATCAAAACATCTCTAAAACCAGTTCAACAAAAGCTGAACGTAAACCAGGTAGGGGTGGAAATCATTGCATAACTGTTAGACTTCATTAGCTGTCACTGTGCGTACCTAAAAATCGACAAGTCAAGTTTTATTTTCATCTACACGTGGGAGAGGATAGTCTAGCACGTACTGTTTTAATCTTGGTTTCCAACAAAGCAAGCCCCAAGCCAACTATAATTATCGTTCTGGACTGAAACACAGGTGCACTGTTTGGAGGCCAGACAACAAAAAGTGTATTATTTACCATCAAATACTGGCTGAAACTGTTAGGAGCTAAGTAGGGAGAAAAAGTCCTAATGCACATCCGGCTGCCTGCAGCAGTCATGCACACAAACAGCACTGAGTGGCAGACATGTAAAAACACGACTGTATCAAAGCATCACTGCTCTGCTTGTTTCTACCAGGGGCAGTGTTTTTATGGTTGGATGATTGTGAGGGAAGATAATGAAGAAAGACCTGAACACGTGTCCATGTGTTTTAGCAGCTACAGCTGATGTAATGTGATTTTTCCTTTACATGTGAAAAAAAGAAAAGGTTTTCACAGGACTCTTTGCAGTCCTGTGTGAAAAACTAAGTAAACCCTTACAGTTTCCCTAAAAATTAAGAGGATAAGCAGCAGCCAGGTGCTGCTAGTCAAATCCACTTGATGAACTGATCATCAGCAAGTGTGGGCATATCTATAAAAGCGGAAGTTCTGGCAGTTTGCTGGTCTGGAGCATTCAGGTGCTTGTTAACACTCCTTCCCAAAAGTGGATGTGGATGCAAAATCACACTACAGGCCTCAGTTTGTGTGTTAAATGTTAAAGTTCATGGCAGGGAAACTAGGGTTGGAAGGGTTGCCAGGAGAAAGCCTTTTCTCACTTAAAAGAACATGGCAGCATGGCTTATGCTGTATCTGAGTAAACCACAAAACCTCAGGGGTAATCTCCTTTGGGCAGACAACACCAAAGGAGAGATGTTTAGCCATAATGCCCAGCACCGTGTTTGGAGACAACCAAACACAACAAACACATCATGTCAACTGTCAGACACAGCGGTGGAAGGGTGGTGATTTGGAGTTGTTTTGCAGCCACAGGACCTGGTCACATGGTTGCAGTCATCCTTGAACTCCTCTGTATAACAAAGTCGTTTAGGGCAGTGTTAGTTTTTGTAGCAACTTTTGATTTAGTTTTAGACACGTTTGAACTCAAATCATATTGTTTAAGTCATAATTCAGGCATCTAAATACCTTTAGTTTTAGTCCACTAATTATCACAAAACTTTGATTAGATTCAGCTGACAAAAAAAAAGTGTGAAAGTTTTTCATGTTATTATTTTTCATGTTTGTTATTAAATGGTAAATGGTCTGTATTTGTATAGCGCTTTTTACTAGTCCCCCCTAGGGACCCCAAAGCGCTTTACACACCCAGTCATCCACCCATCCGGACCTCAAGCACAGAAAGTCCTGTGAACAGCTTTCTTTTTCATATGAGTGTATGCAGTCGCTTCAGTCTATCTGGACTATGAATAAGGTATTCAGGTCCAGCCTTCACACTTGTGGATTCTGGGATAAGTAATTAGCAAAAAAGGCCGTTTATGCTTTCTGTTTTAGATATCTTTAGAGGAAGTTACAGTCTAAACTGAGCAACAACTTTCTGTGTTTTTTCATGTATAAACCCATGTATCCACTGAATTTGTAGTCTTCTCGCTTCATGAGAGGACTGTTCATGAGAGTGCTGGTGAAATATAAATCCCCCCGAGATCAAATATGAACCCCCACAAGCATATGTCTCCACTTGTTTAAGCAGTCCTGGGAGAGAACACAGTGGATTTGGGTGTTGTGGATAACTACATCTTCAAACAGACCACACTTTGCAATTATATCCCTATTTTATGAGAACAGCCAGACACAACTTTCACGTTCCAGCGTCTCAAGCTGAATATTGTGCAATTTTAAGACTGAACTGAATGGCCTTTGGTCACATAATCCACTCAACAGGTTGCCCATCTGCAAAAGGATCTCAGCAAAGGTATAAGGCATGAATGTCACTCAAATGAAAATAGGCAAACATTAACAGCAGAACATACTCATTATGCAACACACTGACCTCCTGTATGATTATATAATCATATTACCGGGCTATTATTATAACTGATGCATCCATGTAAGGCAGCTGTGTGTGAAGTAAAATATTTGTTGGTAAAATAGCATGAAAAGCACAAGCTCAAAATGTGTATGTTAAGTGCTTGAAAAACTTTATTTTATTTACCATTTTATTCCTACCCCCCAAGAGGAAGCTCATAACAACAGTATGGCGTCAGCTTCACTTTCTGCAGGCTTATGTTCTTACCTGCCAAAACCTGCACGTTTAAGAAGGGAGCTGGAAATCGGTGTACTCTGAGGCCTCACCGAACGAAAGGCACAGCAAGATTTCAACTCTGTGATCCTGTCGGAATATCATATAAAAAGCAAATTGCAAGGGATTGATTGAATTTGTTAATGTTGCTCCATTAGAATAACAAATTTCATTAAAAATCTTCTGCCGAGGGACCCAGCTAATCATTTTAATTAGCCGCTCTTGTGGCGTCACGTGGAGAGATGAAAGACCGTGATGTTAATGATGTGGCATTTTCTCGTGTTTCATTAGGCAGTCTCTTACATTTTAATGTCCATCAAAAGAGAAAAAGGTCATTTTTAATTCCAATAATTAATTTGTTAGTATAATTTGTGTTTAAAATATACAGCATGATGCTGCTGGTCCCTGACAGATGAGGTAACAATAGCAGATTAAAAACAACAGTTGAAAATCAACATGTGAATAACACCGAGGCGCACGCTTCCAGAAACACTTTCTTGCAAAGTTTGCTCTCCGTGCTCTTTTGCCATGAAATTATTCTGTTTATTTTAGTCCCCCAGCTTTTACTTAATGACCTCTAAAACTGACAAAAAGGGAAAGTTAAAGCAATGGAAAAGATCCTGAAAAGAGATTGTGTTCTTTTAAGCAAAAGAAATTCACTTTTTTTTTCAACCTAGCCCTTATTTGGTGATTTAGGATTGCACTCACTTGGCAGGCTAGGAAAGGAGACGACTTGCTTTTCATCTGCTGTGATCAGTTGTTTCATTGTAATAACAACTGTTGACGGTCTTGGCAAAAGTTTGCACTGGTGTTAAATGGACCAGCTGTGACTTGTCCAGTTTCTAATCGAGTATATTTTTCAAATTGCTTTGCCTCTGATGGGAAGCTTGACTAAGTCTCACAAACCTCTAAAATGTAATGATGCAAAGAGTTCGAGCAGGTCTCTGTGTCCACCTGTAAAAGGAATAGTTTGAATATATTCACAAACAAGTGAAGTTCAAAGTGACAGTTTTTAATTTAACCAACCAGCAGCCCCAAAGTCAAATAATTAAAAAAAAGAAAAAAGGAAAAAAAAGCAATATAATGATTTAAAAACTGGAAATATTGAAATAAATAGGAAAATGCATAATGGGATTCATTATTGCAATAAAAGAGATCATTTGTGTGAAACACTAGAAAACTGTGAAGTTTCAATAGGATTTTTCTTTTCGAGCATTTCTTTGCCTAGTTTGTGTTTGTCTGCTTTGGATACATAATATATGTTATATAAAAGATGGAGGGACATCTTTTGTAACCAGTGAGTGATGTGACTCACTGGTTCATCCTTGAGCTGAGCATTTCAGCGGTTGCCGTCTTAGTTTTTTCTGAAACAACAGACCTCAGTCAGGGTTGGATCTGACTGAGAACCCTGGAAAGCTGCATCCTCATACTGCAGTGACGTGTCAATAACAAAGTGAGGTACACCATAAAGCATACATTCCTTTAGCCTCCTTTTTGATTATAATGGGGAAAATTATTTACAAAAGGAACCCCACGCAGCTTCAAACACAATGGAAAACCTGCAACTGAGGCCATAAACTTCTCAGAAAACCGTTCACTGAGCTTATAGATGATGTGAGCAGTAGGCTAATTTTCCCAGACTTCTGTTCCATTTAACTAGTGTTTGAGATCAGAGGCTCTATCCCCTCCTGCAATTACAAAGAATTCATTTCTAAAGTAACTGCATGTTGGCGTCAGAATCATAGAACTAGAATCATTTTTATATACATTTAGTTTATCTGACTCTAAGTATTCAGTCATACATGGCTAACACCCTAAACACCAATGGCAGCAGAGTGTCTGAATAATCCAATCTTGCACAAACTCTTTCTTTGCTTATGAATAGCCAACCAACTGTACAACCTTACATATGAATATACATGATATCCATGATACTGGGGTGATTGTAGCTCAGGAGAGAGATCAGATTATCTATTAATCAGAAGGTGGAGGGTTCAGTCTGCATGCCAAAGTATCCTTGGGCAAGATACTGAACCCCAAGGTGCTCTCTGATGCGTAGAAAAGAGCTTGTCTGAATATACATTAGCTGTCAAAGTTACATTTCACTCCATTCATCCTGTTTCCTTCCACAGTAACTGTAAATTTGAGAAGTGGCTTTTTAAAAGTGTGTTTAAACACCATCCAATACTGTTAGATTCAACATTTGAACTATATCACCCTTTTATCCACTTTCACAAATAACCCAAAATATTCCAAACCATGCTGCCTCTTGGGGGTTTACATTTGTTTTGTCTTTCTGGCTGTGCCTTCTTGGGAACATATATGAACACTATACACAGAAATTCTTTTATAGGGAAAAGTGCAACTCATCTCAGCATCTCAATTTGTATCCTGCCATTAGCAGAGGACACTCCCTGTCTATAACAGCACTCAGGATGACAGCTGGCAAAGAAAATTTTTTTTAAAAAAAAAGAAGAATCTATGATGTTATCTTAAGAAGTCATGCTTGGAAAAGGCCTTTGTGGAGCCAGTAGAGTGGGCCTTTACCCTGTGTGAAATATGAGCTCACAGAGACAGGATGCTGACCGTAATAGTGGGTGGGGAGGGCTGTAGCAATTGAGGTGAAAGGCAGCCCTAAATCCCCAAATCAGCAGTTTCCTGGCTGCCATATAAGGTCAGCCATGGGAGGCATTTCCAGTACCCACCAAGATTACTTTGGGATTGGGAGGGGGTGGACTAGGAAACCAGAGAGGACTCATGTTTTTGATGTTTCTGAGCTTCCCACTTTGTGTGTTTGGGAGTCGGTGACTGAGCGCTTGTCCTGAGTTGACTCAAGAAGGGGCTCTGGGGATTTTTCACTCTTTCAGTATAGTAAAAAACATTTTAAATCCAGTGCATGCTATTTCAACGATTGGCTGCTGGACTGCTGTGTTATATTAGAGGCAACAACACAAATCAATATATGTACTGCCATTTAAACAGTCCAAAGGTCTTTGTATAAGAATCAGTGGTATAACGTATGAGCTGGCTCCTCCCCTCCCCTCTCCTCTATGCAGTTTACAGAGCAAAGATGGGCAATATTTAATTGTCTTCATAAGAAACTGGGACTGTTGAGGAGGGCCACACCAATCAGCTCATAAAGATATCAAATTAATATTGAGTGATTTCAGCTTATTGGTAGAGCCCTTCACAACAGTCCCAGTTTCTCATGCAGCCTCTTGGGTAATTAACTCCCCATCCCTGGTTTAGAGATCAGTAATGCAATGTGGACAGTGGAAATAAAGCCTTTTACTGTGTGAGACAAGGTGTAAATAGGTTTTAGATCAGTTACATTTAGCCAAGGGTCTGCAAGTGTGAATACAAACAGAATCCAATGGTTCAAATTTACAAATCTAATTAACTCATGTTGTATTCACAGAAAAACTAGAAAATATATAAAGTGTTTAAAGATTTCACAAAAAATATTAAACATTTTGAATTTGATGGCAGCAACACGTCTCAAGAAAGTTGAGAAGGGCACAAAAATAGCTGAAGAACATTTTGCAACTAATTATGTTTATTAACAACTAGTCAGTAACATCAGTGGTCATAAAAGAAGACCTTAGAGTTTTTCAGAAGGAAAAATGGCAGAGACTTACCAATCTGCAATAAAATACGTCTACAAATTGTGACAGAATTTAAGAAAAATGTTCTTCAATATAAAATTACAAAGACTTTGAGTAGCTCACCGTCTACATAATATCATCAATATGGTGTTATCAAAATTTTCAGAAAGTTTCTGTACGCAAAGCATAAGACTGAATATTGGATGATTTCTGGATGATCTTTTGGCCCTCAGGAGACACAGTGTTAAAAACAGGAACACTTCCAGAAATCATTGTGAACACAATTCCCTGAGTCATCCACAAATGTAGGAAGATGATGGAGAAACGCTGTCATCTTTTCTGGGCCAAAGCTCTTTTAAAATGGACTGAAACAAAGTGGAAAACTGTTGTGTGATCGAATTTTGAAAATCTTTCTGATTTACACAACACAGATGCTGTGTAAATCAGCTTGTTAGTAACACTCAGCGGTGCCTATAAGGAATTGGTCACACATCTGGACGGGCACCATCAAAGCTGAAAGGTAACTACACATTTCAGAGCAACACAGGCTCCCACATCAACATCCTTTATAGGAAAGGCCTTTCATATTTCAGTAAGACAATCTTAAACCACATAATGCAGCTGTTACAATAGCATGGCTTCATAATCGAAGAGCTGAGCATTTGTCACATTAAAAGATGGAAAAATTTTTAAAAAGGCATCCGTGGACTGTTGAGCAGCTAAAATCCTTTGTGAGACAAGAACTGGACATCATTCCTCTCCTAAAAGTCCAGCAACTGCTCTCCCCAATTCCCAGATGTTTACCGACTGCTATTAAGAAAGCGGAAACACCAAACAGTGATAAACGGACTTTATCTTTAACTTGCTCTATTGAAAATTGAATAGAAGTTGGAAAATGACTGAATTCTGTTTTTATTTGCTTTTCCCCAGCTTTTTAGGAACTGGTGTTGTTTAATTCAACACATTTTGGGGAAAACACTGTGTAGGAAATATATGCAGTTACTAAATTAGGACATTTTCGCACACAGCAATTTAAAAAGTAGCACATACAGTTAGCTTAAACTGCAACACTAATATTAAAATGCTGGTCAAACATGGGGCAAGAACAATTTCCCTATATTTCTCCCATACGTTTTTATTGTTTCAAGTGCAGGACTTTAATTTCTTATAGATGATGTATACACTGGGTAATTGCTACTCTTATTTAAAAGACCAACTTGAATTTCCTTAGTCAGACACATTTTTTACAATTTTGGACGCTATAGTTGGTTTCAGTTTGTGTAGAAAGGTGTTTGGATGTACTAGCAGGGTTAGAGACACATGAGACAAATATATCTGTGAGAATGAGATGTCTGAATTCCCTGTTAAGAGTTTAATTAAATTTACTGCCTCATAAGTCTAATTTTGAATGGCATTTTAGTGCAAGTTGCATGAGTGTATTTCAGCGCTTTTATGTTGTATCTGGCAGTAGGTGTGAGTCTGTCCTCAGGCCCCACTGTGCAGATGGAGAGCGCATATTAATAATATAGCAAAGCTTTGAAGCCCCTCTCTTGTCCTGGGATACTTTATTCTCCACATTTCCTGAAGGAACTCAAACACTCCATGCCTGAGGTCTCAGTCCTGAGGTAGCTCTCTCATGTCTACCCAGCAGCACAGGCCACAGTTCTAAATTATTTAGGTAGCTGTGCTACTGTAGCTATGTGTGTATATTTCTAGGTATTGCTCTCCACCATGTTGTACCTTTCTGCTTCCAGTTTCACATTCAGTTCTTACCTGAGAAACAGCTTCTTCACTCCGCTCCTGCTCTGACGCTGTGAGGTGTTGTGTACATGAGATAGCAGAGAGGGAAATACAGTGAAATAGAGGATATGCAGTGGAGCAGCATTGCAAAAGGAAGCCAGCTCAAGGACACGTGAGAGACAGGTTTTGCGTCTGTCACAACATGACAGCAAGAGAAAAAAGAAAAAGAGAAAAACCAAAAGAAACGGGAGTCGCAACACAGATGGAGGTTTGACTCAGTCATTGGCAGTCTCTCGCCTCCCACTTTCACACGCTGTGAAACCTCATCAAGATTTTATCCCGGTTTTATAGGCAGACTTTGCTGCGAAAACTCAATCTTCCTTCCTCGGAGCGAGTTTTTACTGAATGCGCAGTTCTGATATTACATTTCAAACCTTCACTGATGAACGCAGGATAATAACTCTAAATTAAATTCAGTTTCTACATTGGGCTGGCATTTTGCACACTCAGTCTCCAGATGTTCTTTCAGTGAGCTCTCCTTTGTTCTCATTACACGTAGCGCCAACTGTAAAACGTCTGACTAAAAAAGGAGGTCCTGCTTAATCTAATCACCACACGCACAGCGTCCAGGAGGTCAATGACTGCTCGTTCTCTGTAAAAAGTGATACTCTGAATTTACTTTCTACTCTTACGTTATAACTATGCAGTTTTCAAGAGACCTGCAGGTTACTGCAGATCCATTTTAAAAGGTGACGTGAGGTAAATGCAGGCGGTGTTATTTCCCACTAAGCTGCTCCAGATTTCACCCTGTTATTGACAGAGAGATGAAAGCTCCAGAAATCAACCCATTTTCATAACAATATGTATTTATGCACACATTTTTCTTCGTCCCTCGATACTTTCAGTGTGATCTAATAATTCCAAATTTGATTTCCCTGTGGTTCCTTTCTAACTTGTTGTGGCCTGAGGCACAAAAGAAATAGGAGGCAAGAGCACACAGAAGTGGGGCTAGTGCTCCCCAGTGAGCCAAACGATGGGTCTATTTGAGGAGCTATTTCTCTTTCTGTCTGTCAGAGCATCTACACAGGCTGACGAGCTCTGGCCGGAGCACATGTGAGGCAGGAACTGGAGCACTAAAGGGGAAGACAGTGAAGATGGTGATGATGGTCTTTGGCCAGGCGTGAGGCCAAGACAGAATTAAAAGCAGCGCAGGATGTGAAGCTGTACACTGAGCCGATATCGCACACCGCATGCTGTTTCCTTGTCCCCCCCCCCCATGTGGCCTGATAATTAGACAGGCAGTATGAAGGTCTCTCTGTGTCTGCTGTCGATCACAGACTATACAAAGAGGTTTCATCCTCAGACCAGGCTGCCTCTCCAACTGGTCGCACTCTACTGGGAATGTAGGAGGACAGCCAGCCGCCTCTGACGTTAGAGGACAGAGCAGCAGATGACATGTGCAAATAGGAGTGGGCGGCTGAATGAAGCTTGCATGTGAGTCACAGCGTGCACACATGAGCGAGCTACTTATAATTGCAGGCTTTCAACTTGAGTTCATAATGTGTTCACTCTTTTGATGTCAGCTCTAAAATTGCAGGGGAAACATAGATGGAGAGGATTGAAAACACAGAGAGCCACAATGGCTTCCTAACCTTGGAGAACAAAAGAAACGCAGCAACAGCCTCTTGAGCTTGCAGTTCCTTGGGTTTAGTAGCCAAGGTCAATTACCTCCACCTGAAGAATAAAAAATATTCTGATACACACACACACACACACTAGCTGCAGCCTGTGGCATGAATTCATCTGTGAGCATGTCCTCAATATCGTCTGTTCTTCTGGGTGATCCGACCAAAACTATGCAATGGAACATGAGAGTGCCATAAACCTGTCTGTCAGATCATTAACATCCAAACCGCTTTCATGAGAAAACTTTATTGGACAAAAAGCTTTGGATAAGACTGCAAGAAAACTTCTATTCACTTTCAGGATATTCCATCGCAGACGAAGTACAAATTGTACAAACCCTTTTTTTGATATGCCGAATGTCGTTTTCTGTGGATTTAAATGTTTTTATCACTAATGCATTGAAATGGGACTGCTATTTCTGGAGCTGGTCAAGGTAGAGTTCATTTAAACTAATGGAGCACAGCCTGCAAGCTTGCTCAGGCAAGCTGCACTTTCATGCTCACTCTCCTCACATTATATGCCAAAACACTCCCCACCTAACACCCTGCACTCCCCCTTCTCTTTAGTGGTCTGCGTTATTCTCCCATTTCTCCCTTTGACAGCTCATTGCTGCTGCCCAGCATTGCTGGCTGATCTTTGGTCTTCCCACCACCATGATGTTGTTTGCACATCACTCCCCACCTTCTATATGTAATGTGATGAGCTCAGAGTCTGTACACCAAACTCTAACCCTATTCTACTTTAGTAATAAAGAATTTCAAATGTGAGTGGTCCGACTGACCTTTAGTAAGTGGGAATAAGCTGAAAGTTGAGATCTAAAATTAAAACAGACAGAGCAGTAAGAATATTTCAGTTTTCTTTCAAATCAGCTAATCAGAGCAATCTGTAAAAAACTGTATCATGTACCCATTTTAAATAAAAACAATTTTAAATCTCTTTAAGAAGCCAGTTACTGTCTATAATCTCTGTAGAGGATAATCTTGCTTTGCTAAATAATGCATTAAAAGCTAATAATCTGGCATGTATAAAAACAGATGCGACACACACTGCTGCTACCAGCCTGTCTTCTGCATGGTTAAACAGTGCGATGCTTTTCATAGGGAATCCTGGGACCTCTGACCTAATTTTTGTGACTCTCTCAATGAGCTGTGACATTTTGGCTGTGAACATTTTAGAAAATGAACTCTGACAGGTCAGACAAGAACACGGGTTTCCAGTTGCATTCTGCTCAAAAGCCAATGCCACCCGTCAAGTCAGGTGCATGAGTGTATGAATAGCTCAGTTTTCTTTTCTCGTCATTACCTTCCTGCAGAAGCAGAGGGGAATCAATAGTTTCATAGGCAATAGAGGCTTCACCATAACATGGTAGAAAAGAGGTCCAAGTCCATTTATGCAAAATATATTAATATTTTGAGTGCCTTTTTTTTCAAAGATTATAAAATAGGTCGTGTTGACTCAGTGATTAAAAACAACCCAACGTTTTATAGGAGGCCATGCAGACTGAGAGTTTATAAAGAGCAGAAGGACGAAATGCCAGTCAGTCCACCTGCAGCTCAGACCAGAATTAATGTTTTCTTAAGAGATGAGCAGCAAAGCTCCACTGAGACCAGGAACAATGAAAGGTCATCATGTGTTAAGGACCAGCCACTGCACAGCCGTGTTATTTCTCAAGTGTTTCCGGATCTGCTCTGAGAGAGTCGTTGTTAAGCTACGCAGCGCCGTCATTGCAGGTAGAGCTGCTGATTGCTGGCAGGGCTTTTAATAGGTTTCCCTCTGAGGTGCTGAAGCTCATTACTCGTCTCTGTTGCTATAAACCTCCACGCTGTCGTACATCTGTTTTTGAGATCACATCAGTGGAAATGAGAAGGTTTTCATCCACATTTCCATTCATAAATACAAGCTACTTTGCTAATTGGTAGCTCTAAAATAACTTGTGAGATGGCTTCACATACATTCACCAGTATGCAGAAATGTACACAAACTCGGTGACCCGCTGAAAGCCCATCCCCCGGTTGCTGTTTCTCTTTGCTCAGAAATACCAACTACCAGGCTCAGCCATCTGTGACTCTCTGAACCTACTGACCTTGCGGAAAAGCAGATCCTTGAATTATACTAATGCATTTGGCTGAACCTTTTCCTCCTGAGGATCAGTTATCAGACTCACTGTGCTTAGCTGTGTTTTGGCGCCACTTCCCCTCCATTCAAATCCCTTTACCGCCGTACACGTGCATCTGAGAGAAACGCTCCACAGATCGTTATTTATCCTCATTGGATAAATATATGACTTTCCCTTCCAGGTCCGTACAGTATGTTCATTATGCATGCCATAGTGCTGTTGCCCTTTGCAAATGTGCTTCGCTGTTTCCAGGTGTTGATCTTTGCAAAAGGGAAGCATAATCAGAGGAGTGCGCATAAAGATATTTATCACAGGGGAAGTTGAGAAGGTGTATCTGGAAAAATAACACACATTCTAACTGCATCACGTTTCACTGACTATATGAAAATACCACAGAGAGGATGGGCTTAACTCTGGCCGCCCAACACAGTTTGAAATCATAAGCAGAGGCTCATTTAACAACTATAACAGGGGAAATTTAGTGCTTTCAGGGAAACGAAAATATATCATTCAAAATCCCAGAGACCTAGAGGAAAGAAGATTAATTGCAGGATAAATTGTTGTAATGCTGAATATCCCTGACTGGCTTAGTTTGTGGCTATACATAATTACCCGCGTGGCCTTCAAACTGTTAAACTGAGATCTGCTGAGCAAACAATACTGAGTGGATTTCGCCCTTTGAAAGGTAATGGACCAGGAGAGGGCTCAGGCTAAAATTAGTTACTGTAACGGTGTTTTATCCTGACAATGAGCTTTCTGCCCAAAGTTCACACAACACCTCACCACTGCCTCCCTCCTCCCTGTCACCACTACTCTTTAGGCTGTTGGCAGATTCATTTGCGCTTGACCTAGTTAATGTCTCTGGAGAAATGGAGGAGTAAACACACACATGCAAATGCTCCACTCCAGAAAACCTGGAATTTTCCATTCTTCCACACCCAGTCCACAAGCCAGACCACGGGAGGAACATTTTGGGCATGTGATGCACTGCACGTAACAGCCTGATAACATATTGACAACACCAAGCCTAGTAGTGAGGTCACCTGTAGTAGTGAGGTCATCTTCTGAATTACCTCCAAAATGCATTTGATATTTACTTGATTGTCTCTTGAAAATGTTTAAGGTTTCAATTATTTTAAACTACAGTAGAGTGAAACTGAGGTTCATATTATTCTTCAGGCATGCTAGATTTCATTTGAGTATGCCTCTAGTGGGAACTCTTTAAAAAAAAAGTCAAGGTAAAATAAGGAGCGCGTGTATAATATGTGCAATGTAACTGGAGACTAGATTTCCCTGGTAAAACAATTTGATCAAATTAACAATGACTAATAAAATGAGAGCAAAAGCTATCTCAGCTTTTCTTCAGTTGTTTTCTTTTGTTTACTGCCATCATTTCTATCCACCGAAAAGCATCCTGCAGATGGCAGGTCTGGCTGTAAATAGATATGACACCCAACATCTGCCCAATATTTGCATTTTCATGAAAACTGGTCTGATGGGGTTATATTTTCGTGTCCGTATCAAGTAAGCGCTGTTTAATTGTTCCGCCCAGATAACTGCCCATTCTTCTCTTTGATATGCCCATGGAATTATGGGAAATTCAAACGTTTAGCAACTCCAATAACATGGCTGGCAATATTTTACTTGTGTGTCTTGTGAGTCTGTGTGTCCTCATGGCAAAATCTGCTTCTGGTAACACCCACTGCAGTAGGGACACCTCAACGATATTCACTGCAACAGCACAATAGTTTTGCATCTGTACATTCGCATAGAATGAAATAGATTGTGTTGCAGAGATCAAACTGTAGTTCAAAGTTGTGTGCACTTCTATACATGTGTACTGAGTAAAGAGCTGCAATGTAAAGGGACCAAGGGGCTTATTATCTCCCACAAATCTGTCAACTACGGTGTCAGAAAATTGGTGTTTATTAAGTGTTGGGTTAAAATGGACTGATTCTTTTATAGTGCATTTCTACTTGATCACATGCCTCATTCATCCAAGCAATTTTTCTTTGCCCGAGTGCTTTCTATCTAACATTCCCACTCTGTTAAACTCATGGGAAAGCAATTTAAGACTCAGTATCTTGCACAACAATACTTTGACATGCAGATGGGAGCAGCCAAGGATTAAACTACTAGCCTTCCGATTAATAGATGATCTGCTCTACCTAATGGGCTACAGACACCCCATAAAATAAAAGCACAAGATTTAGTGTGACTAGTCCTAATCTCAGCGCTACAATGTCAGCGCTTACTTTTATACTAGTTCTGAGCTGTTGTTATTATTGTTAAATACAATAGCAGGAAAAACACAAATAGCTCAGTAAGTCATAATGGTGTCACAGTGAGCCGGCATAAACAATACTGGGACACTAAAAATGATGCACAGCAATAACTTTCTTATGTGAAATGTAAAACGATCTAACATACACACTTACAAAACACTTTAATATATACATACTAGTATCCAGTAGCACTGAGTTGAGATTTTATGTGCATCAAATAACAAGATGAAAAATTTATAAGCTGTAAAATTTAGACTCTGTGCTTATGTGCTTGTGTACGCTGCCTCTCTCTATCTGTCATTACTAATGCAGATGCCTGATTTGATCTGATTTAACCTGTGCTTTACCTGCAACGACTGTTTTTGTGTTCTGTTATAATGCATCACTGCGTCTCTTAATTTAGAAATAATTATCTGTAGACTGTAGAGTCTTCAGCTAAAATCCATTGTATGGGCACAGAAGACAGGAAAGACTGACAAATGGATACAGTGCAAACTCTTATGTGGATAAATTAAGTTTCTGGGGGTCATAAGAACTTTTTAAAGTAAACACTGAGTCACGGGCATGGAGATTTAGTCTAAAGAAAAATGTCACCCTGTTCGCTATCTGCTGCAACTGGCAGCTAAAAATTGCCATCTGGCTCATTCAGCACACTCTTGAGTATATTTCTTGAGTGTTACTGCTTTCTGAAGCACATAATGTGTTAACAGAAAAAAAAACAGTGGCACACTGCAGCTTACATCATCGCTTCTGGTAATAAGCCATGTGCTGTCTATTTTTAAGAAGATTCACAAACTTCTGCATTTTTGCATTTGCAGTTAACAAATTGAAACATGCCAAACATCACTGTTTGTGTGGCACTACAATGTTAAACTTCACATGGAACAAGGATGCTACTGTGCATGTGTGCTATTGTGGGGTAAACAGGATGAGGAAATGGGCTCTGAGATGAAGTCTGGCTGGAAGATCACTGAAGGAATTACAACAGGGGTGTGAAAGTGTCAGAAATGGCAGTGAGGGGGCTGGAACAAGATTCACGAACTGTATACAGAACGATAGGAGGTATGTGTGAGTGAGAGAGAAAGCTGAGGACAGGAGACTGCAAGAGTGTCACGTGTATGCCAGAATAAGCATAGAGTGCTGCAATCTCTGGACACAGCGGCAGCAAGTCAGGCCCTCAGTCCCTCAGGTTCCTCATGCTCCTTCCACATGCATGGGTGATCATGGCTCAAAGAGTTGGCAGTTCGTTTTGTAACCGGAAGGTTGCCGGTTCGAGCCCCGGCTTGGACAGTCTCGGTTGTTGTGTCCTTGGGCAAGACACTTCACCTACCGCCTACTGATAATGACCCGAGGGGCCGATGACGCGATATGGCAGCCTCGCTTCTGTCAGTCTGCCCCAGGGCAGCTGTGGCTACAACTGTAGCTGCCTCCACCAGTGTATGAATGTGAGAGTGAATGAATAGTGGAATTGTAAAGCGCTATATAAATGCAATCTATTATTATGTAGTGTTCATAGCGTCCACACTTTCGTCACCCCTCCTCTTGCTTGCCTTATCTAACCTTGTCCTCTTTAAGATTTGCGCTCTAGCTGTCTTGACAATTTCCTGCCTCGTGTAAACTGCTAACACGAATCAGAAGCATTTTGTTGCTGTAACTCAGGCTTATTTTCACTCCACTGATAAATTTTTGTCTATGACGCTACAAGAATTTGAATGACTTCAGCTTTGCATGTATACATATACTACAGTACCATGCAAAAGTTTGGAGTCCTCCCTAATTTCTTTATATTTAGCTGTCCAGACTTCTTGAATGAGATTCAAAGCTCTGGATGTTGGCTGCCTTTCATTCAGTTCTCTGTCTAGATGATCCCACAGTGCTTCGATAATGTTGAGGTCCAGACTCTGGAACTCAACATTACTGGTCCAGTAGGTACCTCTTGGCTAATTATAGCTCTGGACCCCTGACTGAAATGCAACCACAAACCATGACAGAGCCTCCACCGTGTTTTACAATTGACTGTAAATGCTCACTGTTGTACCTCTCTCCTGACTTCCTCCACACATGTGGATGTTTTGAACTAAAACTGCATCTCCATAAGAACTGCTGCCACTGGCTTCAGTCTAGTTCTTGTGTAATTTGGCATAACTCAGCCTTTTTTCCCTGTTTCCATTTCCTAATATTGGCTTTTTGTCAACCATATTGAGACCATTTCTGATGAGACTTCAGTGAACAGTAGATGGATTAACTGAGGGGCCAGATGCATTTCTCAGGTCTTGTGTCAGCTAAATTTGCTTGTTTTATTCCCTGTTTGTTTAGTAAATGACTTTCAGATACTGGTTATCTACTGTATATAGGTTTTGTTTTTTGTTTTTGAGCCTGTTACTTCTTCTTTTGTCCTCAGTTGTTTTAAAGACACTCACCTAATCACTCTTTGGAAATCATCTTGATTGTGCAAAAATACTATTTTATGCCCATCAGAGTCAACTAAAAAATGAGAAAAAAAAAGTTTTGTGACAGGTTGCTGGTAAAAATGCCCAAGATTTAATTTAAAATGGGTTCTTTGCTAAATTGTCTGTTGTGGGAAGACTCAACACAGGTTCATCCCTTTAGTTAGGTGACGTTTTCATGCTTCAATGATTCATAGATCAATGTTAAGTGGTTAAAAAATACATTCCACTAAAAATGATCAGGTACAAGGACTGGACTGAAAATGAGTTGAAAAGAAGAAAATGTACAAAGAAAAACTTTGACAGATAGAGAGAGCTATTGCTCAAAGCCGCTTTTAAAATTTAAGTCTTGCTCCTCAGAACCAAAATAAAAGCAAATGAGGAGGTGACTCAAGACTTCTGCACAGTACTATACATATATACTCCACATTTTGAGTGCACATGAGCTTGATGCAGACTAACTTTACTGTTATGTTGTTGGCATTTGAAAGCCATTACACAAACTCTTTTATGACCATGCATTAGAGCAGGTCCAGCAGGTGCCCCTTGGCTAAGTATAGGGGGCAGTCACTGCTTAAATGTGCCATCTTGTTGTTTCTGTTACAAAGAAGCTGATGGAGGAGAGTAGGAGTGTAACACCCCTCTGTAGCCCTCTGAATCTCAGCACTACTCCTCCTCAGAAGAAGAAGACTGGAGAGATGCCAGGTACTTTTTTTTCCCACTTTAAAAGGTTGGGATGACATCCAAACAAAAGAGCACAAGTCCTAATGTGGGCCTCACAATGTTATGCAACTATATTACTGCAGCAGCAGCATAATAAAAAAAATATACATAAGGCAAGTTGAAGCTTTTCTGTTCCTATTGGTGAGCAAAACACAAACCTCACTCCTGGGGCACGGCCAAGGACACGTGTTAGCCACAAACAACCCCTGCTATTAAAGGTTTGTTCTGTGTGGAAATTTCAGCCTGACTCTTCAACCACACTGTAGAGCACTCTGAATGGGTGACTAATGCATGTGTGCTACTCTGCTACACCAGGGAGTTGTGACAATGAGATCCTGCTTCCTGTGACTCCATTTCAGCTCATACGAGCAATATATTACCGACATTAAACGTAACTAAATCACACTGGCTTAATGGTTGAAGAAGACCGTTCAAGGAATTAAATGCTCAAATCCACCATGGCATTGTCCAAAGTAACCCCTGAAGTATGCTTCCACAGCTACATATTTAAAAAGCCTTCTCACTAATCATTCGCATAATGAGAAATGTAATAAAATCTTTGCTTTGCTGTTTAACAGCCTGCGCATAGACTTTAACACATTCTTAATGGCTAATTTCTAAGTGTCGTAATGTAATGGAGGAAGCTGTAATTGATTCTTTAATTACCTGATATTCCTATAACGGCATTTGACAACTGACATGGCTGTTCTATATCCCCTGTTTAAATGGCTATATCTTTAATTCATTAAGACAAATACAAGCAGTATTGTGTTTATGTTTCCTCAATAGTTAAATATTGATCAAAGAATTCATGTTAATTATTTATAATTAACTGTAGGATGTTCAAAAATAATTATATGGGGCACAGAGACTAAAATAGAATAAAAAAGCTAAACCTTGACTGATTAAGGCAAAGTTCACAAAGTCCAACAAAGGAGTGACACAAGCTAGGAATTCAGAACTGAAGTGTAAGAAACAAGTGGTTGACAACAACAGGATGATCTGACAAAGGGTAAAGGGAGGGATGCACCCAAGGCCAGGACACACAGTCACACGTTTAATGTTAACATGGTGCTCATGTTAACACAGAGTTGCTAAACACAAAGAGCCCCCTTAGGACATTCCCGGTCGTTAAGTGATGACGTGAGGAATCCTACTTCCGGGCCTAAAGTAGTCTGCGTTTAATATGGCTTTTGTGTTGTTAACATGTTTAATGTTATGTATTTTCTTCTATTTAATCTCAAAAAGCTCCTAAAACAGTCATTGACCACTGTTGACCTCCCTCGGCTTTTATTACCGCTAATCATTTATTTAAGCTCAGTTTTTAAAACCTTAGGATGTAACTACAGCCCAGCCCTTGCAGCAGTATATGAACGACTAACCTCGTATTGTGGATGGATTATCTCAGTTGTTCTCCTGGCTGAAGTTTAGTCCTTTTACAGCATCCTGCCATGCGATTACATTTGTTCCTGACCACCGAGAACACTCACGTTAACTTTTATCGAGTGGAAAAAAGGTTAGCTTGTTTATATTATGCTAACATAGCTGTGTCGCTAGCGGTCACGTAGCACATCATTATATACCAGCTAGCCAAACTTCAGTAACCCTACAAACGTCACTGCTGTTTAGTTTTCTGTCTTCATTTATGTTGGAAGTGATAACATAGCTGTACGTTTTAATTTGTTTCCAAAACCCCGCAGTCAGGACATGGTATATTGTATTTAGATAGAAGCTAGCGAGCTAACTTCCTGCTAACTTCTAACTCGTTAAATGTCATAAATTCCGTTTTCATGGATGCCTGGATGGTAAACTCAATTGTTACACCTGGTAGAGCAGAACGCTGATCATTTTATTAAAGATGAAAGACTTCAGACAGTTTTTCAACTCTCAGTAATGCCATAGTGATCGTTTGATATATGGACCTTGTTACGAAATCAGGTTCACCCCGGTTCTTTTATTCGTCGAAACTTCCAGAGACAGCACCGGAACTCAGTAGTTATTTCACAAAACCTTTATTCATCGTTATTCATTTTCATTTCTTGCACTTCTAGAAGGGAAGACGTGAGTGCACTCATGTGCCTATGTGAGTGCACATGAGTGAGTGTGCGTGTGGATGTGTGTGCATGACAGTTAAAACACTGTGGGTGTAGGTGACTCCCTAGAGGTCATAAAAAACCCATCTCCCTTCCAGACCACAGTTATCCAGTTACAAATGTTGAGACCCCCACCCAAACATTCTCTGGGGAATTTCCACTCAGCATTAACTCCTCTCTGTTTTACTTTCACGGTTCAACTAGGGAGGGTCTCCTATACTCTACTCCTAAGTTCACGACACAATCAGGCCTTTATTACATTGAGGGCAGTGTCTCTACAATAATTCTAGATTCTATGTTAACACATTTCTAAACTCTAAATCAGCTAAGCATTTCTACAACCTGCAGCGGAGTTTAGGCCCAGACACGGCTAGTGAAGTCAGACTTAACGACCGGATTCCACGGAGTGCTTGACATTGTGTTTGTGTCACCTTTTGTTTTACTTT